GTGACACTGATAAATGGACACTATAAAAATGTTTTAAACTAATCCGAAAGGATAATTCCTATGTGTATAGTACTTATGTCATATTTCTGATACATTAAATTCTATAGTTATTTCTTTTTTAGGAATAATACCTCCTACTTGAGCGTAGACATATCCTGTGGATAGTATCACAATTTATTTTTTTCTCTAGGATAGTTAATGAAACAATCCTTGACTTCTATCTACTAAGAAAAATTTTTTATATTCAAAAGTGACAAAAAAGATGGCAGGCATCTATTCAGAAGTAAAAGAAGTATAAATTTATTCTGTGTATTTGATCCTTTAGGGAAGGTTTGAAATAATGCTACTATAATTTCATTGCCTAAAAGAATGATTTTATAAGGCAAGAAGAAAGGTAATGTTGAAGTATGATGAAAAAAAACCTCTGCCACCTACAGACACCATTCTCATTTCACATTGGTAAAACTCAGCTTATTATTGGTAAAACTCAGTTTATTATTTATGTCATTGCCACTGGCCTTTCGTCATGTCAGTGTAGGTCTTTCCAGTCATTTACTATTTAATTGGATAAAAAGGACAAGGTATTTGGTTTTCTCTTATCCCTATGAGTTAAGTTGAAAATTTCCAGGTATAGTCTAGATATTAAGCTTATTTAATGCACAATATGTACAAGCAACATTATGAGAATTTCCAAAATAATGCATTTATTTACTTTTGTTAAGGTACCAGATTTTTAACAAACCAGAAAACGTCTAGATTCCTGTTTCCCAACTTATAATGTTCTTGTGATACTTTAAAATTGTTTTCCTCTTTTTCCTAGAAAATATGACCACTTATGGCCACACTGCACCTATTTTTTTTTAGCAGAATGTCTATGCATTGAAATGCACTAAAATGGAATAGAAAGGGCAGGAAACCCACTAACAGGCGAAGCCGATGGAAAATATTACTTCTCTAAAGAGTTGCCAAGCAACTGATTTCATCAAATTGAACTTTTGCCTTTGAAGTCTGAGACGATGAGACCAAATTGCTAAAGCGATTTAATTCTATTTTATCTTTCCTATTTTCACATTAAAGTTTCTATGTAATAATGACAATAATGAAAATTAATATCGAATGTACTGGGTACTAAGGCAATTTACAATGCGATGTCATTAAACTCTCACAAAAACTCTATGAGGCAGAAATCATCTTCATTTAACAAATGAGAAAATTGAGGCCCACAGAAGTATCTTCAGGGTCATTCTGGAGTAGTTAATTGATAGGCAGGATCAGTGAACACAGCGGATGCTACACTGAATTAGACAATTATTATTATTTTCTTTTTAAATTGAATTTTTGCAAATTTCATAAATAAATCTTGATCAGATTTAGACTCCCTCTCCTATCTGTACCTCCTTAGCCTCCCAGATTTCATGTATTCTGTCATATATGTCAAGGCTGATTGAGTCAAGTGCATATTTTAATTATATGTAGGTAGCTAATATCACGGGTAGGGTGAACAAACATCCATGGAGACTTAATTTTAGCTCTATTACTTAGTAGCTGGGTCATAAATTATTTAACCTCTCAGTATTTCAGATTTTTAATGTACAAAATAGAGATTTCACTAGTATATACCTCATGGTATTGTGGGGAGGTTTAAATGGGCTAATGCCTTTTAAATAGTTAAAATAGTGCTTGAGGTCCATAAACACTCCACAGGCATTATTTACTTATCTTTTAGAACTGCCCACTGTCCATCCTTATTTATATAACTGATTATGTGAATAACTGTACTTTAAACTCACTCTTTTAAAACTAGAGACTAGATAATATAAGAACGTTTGGCTAAGTCATCATGCTTTATAACACATAGCTAGGGTATTTTCAGATATTTGTAGTTAAATATGTGCTTCCTTATCACTATTTGTGATGGTTAATACTGTCAACTTGACAGGGTATAGAATCACCTAGGGAACAAACCTCTGGGCCTGTCTGTGAGGGATTATCTAGATTAGGCAAAAGGAGGTGGCGATATTGTCCCTAAATGTGGTGGCACCATTTCATGGTCTTGGGTCTCATGATTCTCAAAATCTACCTAGGATTTTCTAAATCTTTCTAATTTTTGTTTTGTTTGAGAGAAGTTTTTTCCAGTATACTAGGCTGACCGAGAACATTCTCTATAGATCTGGCTGAGCTTGAACTCACAATCCTTAAGCCACAACATCCAGAGTGTTCGGATTATAGGTGTGTTCCATTCCACTTGGCCTCTATTCCACTAATCTTAACTCTAAGCTTTCCTTGAGTAAATAGGTAATGTGGCGAGTTAATGGAGAGTGGTGATGGCTAAATTTACATACTTGAAAATAAGAGTATTTGTGACTAAGAACTAAACTGAACATTCTAATATAAATAACTTATATATTGCATCTGAGGTATCACATAGAACTAAGTTAAATTACTATCATTCATAGAAAATACAAAATGTGAACCTTTTTAAATTTTAGCTTTTTTAAAATAGGTTTCAAAAGGATGGTGTATTTCAATACTATTATTTTCAAATAGAAGAGAATCGTGTTAATAGTTGGTCTGTCCATGTAATGGAACTACTTGACAGGTCAAATACATAGGTTACTTGGGAAAATATGAAGTCCTCTGTCTTGAAAGCTTTTGGGTTTAGACTTATATAAACTCTAAAATTTATGTTTTGAGAAATACCAGGTATTTAATGGGGATGACAGGCATCTTGAAACCCTAGATGATGACTGTTCATCATTCAAAACCTAACATAAATGCATGTTTGTTTATTTGACTTCACGGGCTTCAATTCATCAGCTCTATAGCACTTCTTACACATTTCCCTACTTACCTGAAGTTAATGCGATACAGATTTCTTATAGTCATTCTTACCTTTTGGGCTATGTATACCTTACAGGTAAAATTTAAATTTTATTCATCTTTGTGTCCCCACTGCCCAGATGATTTTATGAATGTATTCAACAAATACTAGTTGAATAAGTTAACTAATTAGTCATGGGGAAAATTATGGGAAGACATTTCCTATAACTGATAGGTAGGCTCCATTATTTAAGATCTGATTTCAAAAAAGTAAATACATAATTACATTAAGCTGTTAGTTACTTGGAACAATCTTCAGGTTGTACCTAAACATCTCCCTGAAACTATCTACAATTATTCGCATTGAAGATTTAAATTAAATCAAACTACTATGCAGTAGTATTATATTTTTAAGTTCAATAATTAAAGAGAACTTTGTTTACTTTTTCCTCCCTCCCTCTTTTTACTTTCTTCTTAGCGATTACAAAACTATATCAAGTATCTAAAGGAAAATATCTCAAGGTTTTATAAATTTTCTAAAAATGTTAGAGGTTCTATTTTATAGGGGGAGATATGATTTGTGGAACATGATGGAACTATAGGTCCTTTAAACTACAGTCTGAAAGGATTAAAAGTTTAAAAGCTCTTCAAGTAAGAACCTAACCTAGTGAATATATTTTATAAGATCATGAGTAATTAATGAATGACATTTAGTGATAATTTTCCCTTCAATAAAACACTCATCTATTTTGTGTAGAAAATAGCCAGAAAATTCTAGGATACGAAAGAAATAAGAGCAGATGTACTTATAGCCCATCTAATAACCAGTGGTGAATATATACTTGTGGAATAAATAAAACTCATATTATTTCTTGGGTAAGGAAGGGGAAAGGTAACAAAGACAACACAGCTCTATACTTCAAGGTTACAATATAACTGCATAGAAAAAGAAAGCACCAATATGTTCACTATACGACAGTTCGAAATAAGTGCAACAGTAGTAGCACAATTAAGAAGTTGTGTTAAAATATCATTACTTACTCTTATGATGAAGACTCATATGCACAGAGAACACAAAGAAAGATATGTATATTCATATTACTTTTAACATTTTTATTATGTTTATTATTAATATTTCTCTATGTGTGGGTGTGCAGGTATACATATGTGGAGGTTAGCGGACAGCTTTGGGGAGTTGGTTCTTTTCTTCTTCTGTGGGTTCTAGGGATCCGAACTCAGGTTGTCAGGATTGTACAGCAAATCCATTTACCTACTGAGCTATCTCACTGGCCCTGATTTCTATTCTTTAGGATGTTTTTGTCAAAAAATTCCATATATAATTATTACCAAATAACTGTAGAGAAATTAGGTATGTGTAAGAAGAAATGACTCCTATTTAACGAACAGAGGAAGGAGCCAGTCTGAATTATCCAGGAACCATTCTATCTTTTCGCAAAATATATGCTCCATTCTCTAAATGGTTAATTTGAAATTGGGAAGGGAAAGCACAGTCTTCTAATTAAATTCACTTGATTTACTACTTTAGGCATTTTCACCTGCAAATATTGCAGACACATTATACTAATTTTAACTTTTTGTGATTGGATTATTTTCTTGGTTATGCATGGAAAAGCAAGAGACAGCAAGTAGGAAAATTCTGAGGTACATAATAACTTTAGGCTCACTTATGCCTTAAATATAGTTTATCCCTCCTTTCTAGTTAAAATCTTCCCCTACTTAAACATAAGATTAATTGTACAGCTTCTTAAAATAATATAAACTCTGAGATCATATTTCCCCAGAAAAGCCTATCTGAAATAATCTTTTAAAGTCTCTTATAATTAAGAAAATTATTTTACTTCAAAATAATGTTAAAATATTTCTTAAATTTATAAAATGACTTATTCTAATTTTGTAACACTTAACACAGAAGAAATACATATAAAGTTGAGATTTTCATACACCATTCTGAGTTATAATGTTACACATTCTTTGGAAAATCTAGAATGATTTTTAATATCATGTATCATATTGTTGATATTGCACTTAGAAGTATATGATGGACTCTAAAGGTTCATAAACAATCAAGTACTTTTCACAGCCCAAAAGTCTATGAAAGGAAATTGAAATGCGCATACCAGATACATATTCCTATATAAACGTAAGGGAAGAACGCTTACCATAAGTTGGTGTGCTTTCTCGTCTTCCTTGACTACTTGATCTTCCTTTTTCATATTCATAGCAATACAAGACAGTATCTTCTTCAACAATATTAAATCTCTTTCGATATTCCTGATCCAGAAATGAATTTGGGGATTCAGATCCCTTATGCACTGGCTTGCCCACCATATGCCCTCTGAGGTCTTCACAAGGAAGGTTTCCTTTCTCATCCCTAAAACAAAGTAAAAGCAGTGGAGATGGATGTAGGGAAGTGTTAAGTAGGTACATGTGTCAGAGGGGCCTAAAATACTAATAACATCCTTTCCACACAATGTATCGTCCAATCTTTACAAGCTTTCTTTGAGAATCATAGGGTAATTTTAAAATTATTTGCTTTTTGCCCCAAATAAGAATAATAAGGCTCAGTGGTTAAATGACTTGCCTCAGTATTATATAGCTAATAAAAAAAAGACTTAGAATTGAGCAATAGAGCCTCTACTTTCTGCTCTAGTCCATTTTTCACTGTCTTGTCATACAAAGAAAATAATTTTAGAACATAAATTGATTATAATTTTCAAGATACTAGGTGTGGAGCCGAATGTGGTGGTGCAAGCCTTTAATCCCAGCACTTAGGAGGCAGAGGCAGACGCAGATGGATCTTCGTGAGTTCAAGGCCAGCCTGGTCTACATAGTGAGTTCCAAGACAGCTGGAGCTACAGGGAGATCCTATTTCAAAAAGACCAAAAAAAAAAAAAGATACTAGGTGTCATGTTAATAATTTAACTATATGGTCTTCTGCCTATTTACTTAATTGATTCTTGGTAGAATGTGTTTCTGAAAACAAAGATGCTTATAAGATCATATTGCCGAAATAAAGGGAAACACGACAGTCTTGTGAGCAATAGTAGCACTATATAATTTAGGACTGTAAGAAATTCAAAGAGCAGGTTATTAGTGAAAATGAATTTTAATAATGAGGGTTACTCTAAGTATTTAAACTCTACATATCTCCCCAAAGAGTAAAAAATGTATTTATGGAACTTATTCTAAATGGCTAAGTCAAAATCACATATGAGGAAAGTTTGTTATGGAGAGAGGGTGGAAAATATGATAAAATGCTGAATTTAGGGATATATCAAATTCATTTTTCATCTTTAATACTTTAAGGAGAAAAAGTTCTTAATTGTGAGATTCTCAAAGCCCATTATTTTATCCCAGTAACAGGGGATTGAGCTTATAATGAAAGATTCCATCTAGGATTGGTTAAATTGCATCTTGTTAATCTTATAAGCTGTTTCACTGGTTACCTGTGAAATTTTTGTTAGAAAAGCTTATCTTCTACAACATTACTATGAATGTAAATGCAATGTTTTGTCACTTATGTCTCACTGTGTTTCACTGGTTACAGTTATTCCTAGTTTTAAATGTTTTCCAGTTGCCCTAAACAGTGTTATAAATCAGTTCTATCAAATGAGAAAAAATTAATTTTGTCATGAGAAGACTAAAATAGTACATTTAGAGATTAAATGCATTATATTTTAATTAGGCCCCGCTGCGCTTTATAAAATGGTGAAGTGCTTATAAAAGTATGTTAATTTTGAAATATAAGTCTAAGTCTACCAAAGCTTTGTACTTCTGTATCTGTATGTAAATGCTTAGATGTTCAAATGCAGATATTTTCCTAGTATTTTAAATATATAGCAAGTAATAAACAATATTCTCAAAACTGACTTAATGAGAAGTTTGCTCTGTCAATTTAATCCATCCTTCATCAGGTACAATTGTCATTTATATTATCATTTACTTCGATATATTTTCTAAAACAAAGATACTGCTATTTATAAAAATATAACTATATTACTGGCTCATAGGAAACAAGAAGAAAACGTATAAAATCTAGTATGAATTTTTTTTTAGTTAGTTGAAAGCTTTTCTTGAACTAATTACCTGGTACTTTTTGCTACTGTTAGCTCCCTATCAAAAAGAAACTGACATTCCATCTAGCTTGGAAATGGCCCTAAGGAATTAATGACACAGGGGTAAGGTTACATTTTTCTGTAAATGGGCAGATATCTCTATGAGGTGTGTGATATTAATACTACTGCAGCTGAGATCAGAGGATAATTCAGACCTGTTAGTTCATCATATAACACCAGTATGGACATGCCCTGAGGCAGAAAATTGCAAGGACTGGCATTTTCTATACTATAGTGATAAGGAGAAACAACCTTGTATCAAGAGGGTAGATTTATTAAACATATGTATATGAAATACACTCAAATAGGTAAAATACAGAAATATACAAAACAAATGTCCAGTGGAATGAACTAATATACAGAAGCATGTATGGATAATTATGTATAGAAGTGTGTGAATACGGATGTGCTCATAACATGAATTCCTGAAGAACTCTATGCATTCATTGTAATGTAAAGATTTTTTGTTTTCTTAAAGTTGTATGTATATATATAAACATAATAAACCTATACCTTTGCTTTGGATATAAGGAACAGATTAAAGGAGCATTGCCTTAGTGGTTTTTGTTTACATTTACTGAGACTTTGTGGAGTTAACAAGACAAATTACTGTTAGGCAGGAGAGTTAATAAAAAAATTAATTATTCTATTTCATAACTAAGTATATAAATATTCATTTACATCACAAGGAAAGAAATTTGGTTAAGTACAAAATGTACTATGTATTATAATGAGATTTATTCAGACAAAACACATAATAAAATTGCATCCAAATTCCACATATTCATATATATTAATGTGTTGTTCAGAGAACAAAGCAACATTTACAGTTTTTCCCTAAATGTTTTCAAAGAATGAAATGGAATCACATGAAAAAAAATTCTAGTTGAAAATTAGTCCTCCTTTTTCCTTTAAAGATAATAAAGCTTTAAAAAAACTTCATTTATGATTGTAACTGAACATACACTACCAAAATTCCTATCCTATATAAAAAATTAATTTAGTAAAAACAAAATTTTCAAAAAAGTTGAGTTAGGTTAAGCACTTAATTTTTAAAAATGAGAAAATGTAAAATTTTGCCAAGTCTGTATCTATAGCGATAAGGACAACTGTAAAAAGTTCCGCAAGTTTAAGTCAAATCAAATAACGCAGGGAGTTTAAATGAGGCTGTGGTTCAAAGGAGACTTGATGCATGCATTGTTTTCACTGTTGTATTGAAATACTATGAGTAGATAACTAATAACAACTCCAGATTTACTTAAAATATTCTTTTATTACATAACAAACTAAAAAGTGATATGGTGACACTATTTAATAAAATTTATTGAAATATATTGAACCTTGAAACCATATTGTTAAAAAAAGACCCTTACCTTTCAATTTCTCCCAATATTAAATATTGAAAAAAATCCTGTCAAGCGTTTTGTTGACTTCTGAGTACTGCCTTAGAAATATCTTAACTACTTTCAGAGTACAAAACAGATTATTTAATATTTTGTCTCTGAAATGGATTTTAAATGTTCTAGCTAGGAGATTCTTTATAATATATTCCTCTGTACCTAGGGAAAAGGGACCAAACATTAAAATATTGCAGAGGTTTCACAAAAATCTTTTGATGTTTATCTACATATGAAGCCCTCTGAAGAATATGGTTTCTCAGATAACCATCTGCACTTAAATAAGTCTTTTTCATTATAATGAAAGCAAACCATGAAAGATTCACTTTCTGTTTGGAACAGACATGATTTCATGGCTTCTCATAGAAGGTTATTCAAGAAGACTGATGTTCTCAACAGAACTAAAATGCAACTATTAAGTTTACTAGGATATTGGATGGATTTGTAAATCTAATTAAAAATTGAGCACAGAATGCAAAACATATATTTTACTGAGAAATATCAATAAACAAATTAATCAAAACTCTAGATACTGGTGAGCATTCTTCCTTTTCTTTCTTGTTCTCATAAAAAAATCTCTCTTCTTATCTGCATTTAAGAAAGTATAAATAGCATCTATAATGTCTGTCCACTTAAAAAGCTTTTAAATGCTTTAAGCTACACTGAGATTTCTTGAAGCTTCTGTGTCAAAAAGCTTCTCTTATTATTTACTTTGTAATATAATCCTAGTTGCTATTAAATATTACTTTCCTATTATATGAGATAATTAGTGTAACATGCATAATGAAAGATTAATACAAATTATTATTATCCAAAGTACATTTGTTATAACGAGAATGACTTTCTAGAATGTGTTCAGAATTCTTGATAAAATAGCCAAGGTGTCCCTTAAGAATTGACTTTATAGTTCATAAGTTATTACGTTTGTCTTTAGTTGGTAGCTGCCCAGAACAGTAGTAGTTTATACCTGGGAATATACGGCTCTGCAGGAGGAGGGGGAATGTAGAGATCCTGGAGAGCAGAACTGTCTCTTTTGGTAGGTGTACTGATGGTGCTGGAAGGCGTGGCAACGCTGCTTGTGGGACTTCTAGGTATAAGAGGCTGGTTAAAATGAAAAAGAAAATACATACGCACACAAACAACACAAAACAACAACAACGACATATAATTATCATTTTAAAATGAGCTGTTTATGCAAAGTTCTTGAATGGCTGAAATAAAGAAAAATGTTATTTATCATATGGCTATTCGTTTGAATCACCCACAAAAAATAATGCATCATAGAGGTTTCCATGTGTTTTTCAACTCACCTTTTTCTATTGCTTAACCATCAAAAAGCTATTTATAAAGTGAAAAAAATCATTCAATGCTATAAAGTGAGACTTATCTCACTCATAAGTTACAATTTATTTAAATTAGCTTTGTCAGAATCCCACTTTTGAAAGCTAAGAAAGGATAACTCATAATTAGCTTACTTAAATCCTGACTGACATTTGACAAACCATATCCCTAGGTTAGTAACAATGTCACAGATACTCAGAAACGGTAACAGAAATGGAGTGTGAAAGGTCAACACAAGAGAATATTCTCTATGAAAATGTACTTCTCTGTCAATATAAACATAGGTAGCTGTCCCTTCAAAGTTATTTTATATTACATGTGTGGATGATAAGGTGACATAATCATTTTATCTTTCATAAGCACATATATTTATTCATCATTTAAAATCATCTACAAATCTCATTACAGGTTTGTATTTAAGTGTTGAATAGGAGGTTGCTTTTTAAAGATAGTGTATACACTGAATTAAGCATAACTCAGGATATATAAAGAGCACTCCCACTTCCAAGCTTCAGAGCATTTGAAAATAATCTTGTGGTTTAAGAAATCATCCTAAAGTGAAACCAAAATTTGCAATTTTTGATGTTTATTTTACAGAGCTTATTGATTAACTATACATACAATTAACATTAAGAATAAGAATTTTAAGGCAATCTTGAACACAAAAATAATGATCACAAGATGAATTGCATTTCCACATGACAAAATGGTGCTATTTGAGCCTATATGAAACACTTCTGTTATATCTATATAAACTCACAATTACGGTGACATGCATTTCTGGACACTTGAATAAATGCATATTACAACTATTTTATATTGTGACATTACTTTCATACAGATAATGAAAAATTGTTCAAAAGCCAGGTATAAGTACAAAAGAAATTACAATGTAGGTCATTGGGATAGGCTACATCATTTAGGACCCAGTTAATGATTTTGGCCTTCCCTGTTACACAGCTCACCTTAAGAGCTTGAACTCAAGCATCCTGCCAAAATAATGGTTAAGTTTAAATGTAGGTGAAATCGAAAATAAGAAAAGAGAAGAGGAAAAGGAATGAGAATGTACCAAATCTTCACAGTATTCTATCTCATATGATGCGATAAAAACTTCAGAAGCTTTACATACTAACTGAAGACATTTATGTCATTATGAAAGTATGCAATAAAGACTTAAATGTTTGACAATATTAAATTTTGGAATATAATCCAGTTGAATTATGACTGTCCTATAGAAAGCAAACACTTGGCAATGGGAAATCCTGAGATTATAGATGTCATTAGATGAGTCACTTTTACTGATGAACACCATAAAGCTCAAGGAAATTGAGAAATGAATTCTTGCTAAGGCTGTATTTCATGCATCTATAATAGAATTTGAGTGACATATTCAGTGATACACACACATTCACACATATATGCACATTCATATCCATGTTTCCTATTATATGACTACTAATAATTATTTTATCTGTGTCATTATATTTTGGTTCCAAATACAGATATATCTATAGATAGGGAGTAAAGGAAAACCTTATAGTATATGAATTTATAATATGCTTGAACCAATGAACTATGAAAGAAAAATGAATATTCAGTATTATTTTCTAATGCACTAACAGTGTACTCTTTAAAACATCCAAATACTACAAGTGAACTTGAAACTAATACACACACACACACACACACACACACACACACACGTGTGTGTGTGTGTGTGTGTATGTTTTGTAGACAGGGTCTCCCTGTAGCCTCAACTGGACGGGAACTCACTATGTAGACCAAGCTGGCTTCAATCTCACAGAAATCTGCCTGTCTACTAAGTGCTAGAATTAAAGGCGTTCATCACCAAACATATGCTTTAAGAAATCAATTTAACTTAATGTTTTATTGTCTTTCTTCTATTTTAGGGTTACAAGTTGTAGTTTGAGGATGTCTCACCTTTACTTTGATGATCTATAGAGCTATAAATTATTTTTAACTGTCTTATTTCCAAACAAAAAACAAATGGAACAGTCCTCCATGGTTACAAGCACATTTAAATATGCCTCAAATATGATGTAGAGACTGCGGGGTTTTTTTTTAGTATTAGCAGTATCAATTTCTTTCAAATTGCTATCAC